GTGGCCGGTTTGCAGGGGGTGGGGTATGAGGCGAGACTGAGGGAACTGGGTCTCTTCAGCCTGGAGAAGAGGAGACTCAGAGGGGATATGTTGGCGACATACAGATATGTGAGGGGACGTCACATGGAGATGGGTAGAGACCTGTTCTCCCCTGCAGAGGAAGGCAGGACATGCTCCAATGGAGCAAAGCTCAGGGAGCCAAGGTTTCGTTTGGATGCCAGGAAGTACTTCCTGACAGTCAGGACCCCGAGGGTGTGGAATGGGCTTCCACGAGAGGTCGTTGAGGCCCCGTTGGTGTGGGTGTTCAAGGATAGGCTGGACATGCACAAGGTGGGCATGTCGTGAGCGGAGCCAGCTGGTGCCAGAGGTCAGACTAGAAGGCCCGGGAGGCCCCTTCTGACTCGCTCTGTTTCTATGTTTCTAATACCAGCTTCTTGCTGTGATTCCTTGCACTGCCTAGGAGGCTACTAAATATTGATCTGATGCAGCAAGACATTTCTTGCATTCTTCAGCAAGAAGATATCTCCAACACCATTTAACACAAATCAGCTACATTTTTAACTTCAGAGAGCTTGTTAATTTAAAATACACTGGGCTTTTTCTGATTAAAAGGTGTGTGGGTGGGGGGAGACTGAAATCAATGTTCTCCTGGCATAGAGATTGATTCAGCAGTTACTTGCAATAGGAAAACCGAAGCAAAAACTTAATGACCCAGTGTCAAAGAACTGTGAACAAGTAAAAAATGATTAGCATTGTTCCATAACCTCCTGCAAGATTTCCCACAGTACGCTACCACACAGTTTCAGTGCTGCATTACGGTGAATTAAGGTACAAGCTGTGGCTTAATACAAATTTTGCTGAGCTATGAAAATGGCTTGTGGAAGCAGGGAATATTTTTTCTCATGTACCATTCTGGTACCAGGCCAGAAGCAGTCACTGTGTGAGTGGGAGAGACTTTCCACTAATACTAAAGGCCACCTCTGGATCCAAGCCAATGTGTACATAACTCCATGGAGTAGTGTTTGCTTCTCAGTGTAACCATAAAAAAAGTACCCCAGACAAAGGCATGGAGCATTATACACTTGGTTATATAGCTCATTCGTCCTCGTTTTGGTGCCCTTGAGATGTTTTAGACTGAAACCTCCATCCTCCCAAGTTGATACAGTAATTAGTATGATGGAGTTTTAGCTGGTAAACTATTGCAATCAAATGCCTAGCTAAATAGTACGATGATTATGTCTATCTTTAATTAATCTCTGGTGCATGGTGCCTTAAACATTCCTAATCAATATCAATGCAGTGTGACCTGTGTGTTAATGATAACTCAAGTATGAGGTTCTGGGGCAAGACTGTGGTCTCAGGATAATTTTGAAGGCAAGCAGTTCTAAATTATTGCAAAGTTCATTGGAGCAAGGGTGGGTACATTAACAAAGTATCTTCAAAATTATAACTAAGGGCCTATTCATAGTGTTCATTTTCTACTTCCATAAAGATACTTTAATCCAAAATACAAAGTCAATTTTGAATGGCTGCTTGTCTTTCAATATACGTGGAAATAACAATTAAAAATCAAGTAAGCCCCCACTTCTCATTATATTGTATTTTGTTCCATGCTTCAGATAGATTATTGTTCCTATATGTTTTTATTCAAAGATAGCAGAAAGTCTGTGTTTCAAAGAAAAACCATGATGGTTTTTTAAAACAAACAAATGAAGCCAGCAGTTCTAAGCTGGTAAAACTAACACTTTTAAAAATCCTTAATAATGAGCAATAGAGAGGGATAAACCAGTCCTGATGGTGGCAGGGCAGCATGTCATAATGAACTGTATATTCCTATATAGTATATGTTTGTGTGGGGTGGGAAAATATTTCAAAGGACTACCTCTTCCTGAACCAGTGAAAAAGGGGATCTGAAGCATTCTCATACCAGTGCTTTTCCCTCTTCCAATGTTTCTTTTTTTAATCCACCACTGTTTTTCCTTCATAAACAGAAATAACATCATCGATAAAGTGCTAAGAAGCAGCAGTCTTGAAGAGAAGCAAGAGTGCTGCCTCACTTTCCACTTAAACTACACTCTAATCTCCCTCCAACACACACATTAATAGGTATGCAGAAATATCATGCTGGGTTGTGCTATGGTCATTGCATGGTCCGGCCCTGACAGATCTTGAACCCATTTATTTATTGTGATGTTTGTAAGGATTAAGCATAACTTGAAAATATTTATTTAGACATTTTTTTCAATATAGAGATGTAGATTTACCATATAAAATTGGGGGAGGGGGTGCCAATCCAGCATTTATTTATTTTTAAGTTGTGTGCATTCTGACCAAATATGTTCATGCTACTGTCTCACAGGCTCTGTAATGACTCATATCTTCAGGAAGAAGCATTCACTGGACTCTGTTGGTCTCAGCAATAGAAGATCACAATCACTTTTCCCTTAAAAGCTTAATGACTCTTTGCTTAAACAAATAACCTGTTCCTGCTCCCCCACCCACTGCAGTGTTATATTCTACAATTGAAAATGTAGGCTGCAGGCCTTGGCGTTCTTACTGGCATTCTTTCTAGAGTCCTTACTCATATGCATATGAGTAAAGTAATAGGAAATGAGTTTCAAATCATTCTGCGAGATAGTTTGTTGGTGAACTTTTTTGCTTAGTTTCTTACCCAGAGAAGAGCTAGCCTTCACCCTGTGGTGATTGTCATCCAGATAAAGCTGTCTTTCCAGTTGTCTAGTAGAATCCAATTTCCGTCTCTCAGTTCTGTCAGTGATAATAAGAAGCTTGCAGACAGAGTTTATCTGGCTGGGCAGTCTAAATTTGAGACAAAACTGAACTAAAACTATTTATGGAATCAGTTTAAATGGTTTGACCCGGGTTATTTGAGGAGTGCCTTCTACCAGGCGAGACTTGGCAGCCGCTGAGATTGTCACCAGTGGTCCTTCTCTGACCTCTGGTGCCATCCAAACCACCG